ATGGCCGACATTTGCGTCGTTAACTGCTGCAATTTCATCACGTGCGTTGGATGTTGGTATGATGATTGCTTGACCATCTGACGCGCTGACCCGGGTGTTGGGAAGAGTGTTCACATGTGCGCTCCCCGCGTGGGCATTTACTACGCATAGGCGAAGTCTCAGCACGGAGTATTGAATAGGAAGATCATTGCACGTGTTAATAGACTGGGGGCCAGTAAACCATGACTCAAGCAGATGCCGACTCACGCGGTTGTCACCTCTTGCGAGAATTTTGGCCTGCTCAAATTTGAATGTGTGGTCGGAACCCGTCTAATTGGCCGCAACGTGACAGATAGCGTCATTTCTCCGCTCCACTGCAGCGCGTTCGGCCATTCGCATTCGGAATTGTCTTCCGGTTTATCCGACGTAGTTGCTTAGTCTGCCACTGCGCCAGATCCGATAAACGACTCCAGACGTTTCTTGCTGTGGCAGTGAGTCTTTCGGTTTCATTAACTGACGCCTGGTGGTTGCCTCCAGTCTGTGTGCAACTCCAACTCCAAGTGGTGCGAGAAGGCGACCAACAGCTTCCGAAACGTTCTTGACATATGAAAATGCTCGCCAAATTTTGGTGTCCGTCTTCAACGCATGCTGATTTGTGAATCTCTGTTGTTGACCGCGCCATCCCGACAGAGGCTCGGCACGTTCACACACGACGGATGCTGCGCAAATTTCCGCTGCTTTCGTAGTTGACGGACCGCCAGTAGCATGTCCATGCTTCCGCAGTGTTTCCAGAGCTTATATATGACAAGACCCGACTACCTCACCGTCCGAGGTATCTCTTCTTTTGGCGCCTTCCGTCAACTTGCCGTTCTGGATTCTGAACCCGAAAATCCATCTCGGCAACTCCTCGCCAAATACCCCGGTCTCACTCGTCCCAACTTCAGCACACCTATTCCACAACACGACGTTGTTCACCGCATCCGGACCACTGGCCCTCCCGCGATTTCACAGCCCCGCAGTCTCGTGCCTGCACGATTGTCTGCCGCAAATGCCGAGTTCGAGCACATGCTTCAGATGGGCATCATCCGTCAATCTGAAAGCCCATGGGCCTCGCCCCTCCACATGGTGCCAAAAGTCGCCACCGGTGGCTGACGCTCCTGCGGTGATTACAGAACCCTGAACAATGTTGCTGTCCCACATCTTCGGGATTTTGTCGATGCCCTATTCGGCAAGTGGGTGTCTTCAAAGATTGACCAGGTCCGTGCCTTCCACCTAATTTCCATCGCTCCAGAGGACGTTTCGAAGACGGTCGTCACTGCCCCTTTGGCCTCTTTGAGTTCCTGCGCATGCCGTTTGGACTCCACAACATTCCACCGACTGTCCAAAGGTTCGTGGACAGAGTGCTTCGCGGCCTGCCATTTGTTCACTCCTATATCGACGACCTGTTGATAGCTAAGTCTACTGCCGACGGATTCACGGAGCAACTTGCAACGGTGTTTGACCGAATGCGACACATTTGGCGTTGTTCTCAACCCGTCCAAGTGCGTCTACAGTGTGCCCTCCTTAGGAATTCTTGGACATCTGGTTGACTCCAACGGCATCCATCCTCTCCCATCGAAGGTTCTGACTATGCGTGATTTCCCAACTCCCTCTTCCCAAAGTCAGCTGCAGCGATTTCCAGGCATTGTGGACTTCTATGGCCGATTCCTCCTACACTGTGCCGACACTATCCTGCCGCTGGCGAGCCTCCTCTCGTATTCCAAACGTTCATTCGAGGAGTCTGCAGATTCCCTCGCTGCTTTTGACAAGGTGAAAGCTGTGCTGGCCGAGAACACCCTCCAGACGCATTTTTCTCCCGATGCTCCCATCTCTCTCATGGTTAGCGCCTCCGATGTCGTACTAGGCGCTGTTCTCCAACAGCTAATTGCTGGTCACATCCAACCCTCAGCTTTCTTCTCCAGAAAGTTATCAGCTGCCGAGACGCACCATAGCACATTCGAACGGGAGATCCTTGCTGTCTTCCTCGCCGTTAAATACTCCTGGCACTGCCTTGATGGAAGAAGCTTCACTGTGTTCACGCATCACAAGCTCCTTTCCTTCGCTCCCAAGTCCACTTCTGACAAGCTCAATCATCAAGAGGTTCGCCAACTGGACTACATCTCGCAGTTTACCTCAAACATCCGCCACATCGAAGGGTCAAGCAATGCGGTGGCTAACGCACCGTCCAAGCCCTGCATCGTACATCTCTAACTTTCTTCCGGGATCGACCTAGCTGTGACGGCTGCCGAAGAACGCCGTGATTGATCTCCCTGTGAGGAGGATGTTTCCGGACTCCAACTCCAGGACCTGCCATCGACAACTAGCAACGGAACCATTCCATGCAACGCCCCCACCACCTCCCACAGTCCCTTTGTGCTGCCATCACTCCGCCGCAAATTCCTCTCCTCCCTGCACAACCTTTCTCACCCTGAGAGTCGAACTGCGACATGCTGGTTTCTTTTCGCCTCATCCGGCCTGAGATGCACATAGACCTGAAAGCATGGACACGAGCGTGTCTTGGCTGTCAGCGGAGTAATGTCCAACGGTACAACAAAGCTCCTATCGGCATCTTCCCCACTCCGGATGCACGGTTCAGCCATGTCAACCAGGACACCGTAGGCCCCTGCCTCTGTCCGATGGCTGTTTCGATCTCCTCCCCTGTGTGGGTCGATTTACCCGGTGGTCTGAAGCTATTCCCCTTCCTGACATTGCTGCTCCAACGCTCGTCAAGGTTTTTTCTCACTTCTCGGCTTGTCATCTTTTGTGCATCCTTCACGATCACGACTGACCGTGGTTTCCTCAAGTTGAATCTGACCTCATTCAGTTTCTCCTCACCTTTCTAGAATGCACACGCATCCGCACTACGGCCTACTACCCAGCAGCCAACGGGATGGTCGAGCGGTTTCACCGCAAGCTGAAGGCGTCCTTACGCGCCGCAGACGGTCTGGAGAACTGGACGGACCAATCCCCCTCCCTGATACTGTTCGGCATTCACTCTTCCGTCATATCGGACCTTCACTGTTACGATGCTGCAATCGTTTTCGAGGCCACCGTCTGACTTACCGGTCAGATGATCTCGCAAAATCCGCGAGTTAAGTGGAGGATCCTACCAACCTCCAGCATCGTCCTCGGTAATTCATGAGGTCAAATTACCCGGTTCAGCCCAGGTCATCTGTCTCCGAGTCTTACCACGAGGAAGGTTTAGGGATATCCTATCATGTCTATCTCCAGTGTGCATGAGTTCGCCGACTACAGGAACCACCACACGACAGCACCATCCGAGGTATCTCCGCATCCAACGCAGAACACGAGAGCAGGTCGTCAGCGATAGCCGTCTCAAAGCTGCGGTCCCGGACACTCCTCCGGATGAGCCCTGTGGTCCCTTACTCCTTGCTCCACCTCTCCGACCCTCTATTCCTCCGTCCCGTACACTTCATCTGTTCCCACGACCACGAATCCCAACTGCAACTATCCCCTCACGAACCTTCTACGCTGTAACCACAGGCCATGCTCACTCCTCATCTGTGTCCCCTGTATATGTAACCCGTAGTGGACGTCATGTTCATTTTCCTGACCGTTTGCTTACTCGTGTTTTTTAGACATGAACAATAACATCGGCGTCGTTACAGGCCGCCTTCGGCCTAGCCTGTGAGTACTGTGGAAGACCATGCCTCCTAGCTCTCTGTCGCCTTGTCACGCTGCCTTGCTGTCAACCTCACACTCCCCGTCGAGTCGCTGCTGAGACGCGCGAGGCTTGTCACTAGCCCCGCGAGCGGCACTCGGGGCTAATCAACGCTGCCCCTTCCCTGAGTGGCTGGCGACACTGAGGCGGCGAGGAAGCCACACAGGCGCTGGGGTCTGAGAACCTCGACGGCGGACACAGACAACACTTCTTGCCTCGAGAGCGCGCTCTTCATCAGCATCAAACGTTGTCCAACCCAGCCTGTCTTCCCTGACTTCTAATTTGGGATTTTTTGTCTTGTCGACCATGTAGCAACCGCTCCGCACTTCCGACATTTCCTCGAGGGCCGCGAATTTGTCGTCCTAACAGATCACAAGCCACTCATTTTTGCACTGAAGCCTTCTCCCGATCGATACTCGCCCTGTGAAATTCGCCATCGAGATTTCATCTCACAGTATTCCTGCGACATTCAACATGTCCATGGTAAGGAAAATGTGATTGCTGAGGCACTTTAAAGAATCCGGATGGCTTCCGTCACAACATATGTCATAGACTTCACGCTCATGGTTGAGGCTCAACGATCGGATGACGAACTCTCCCAATCCCTCCACGAGGACTCTTCTTTATGCATTCAAGATGTCCCCCTTCCCACTGGCACTGGCGCCATAACGGGCGACCTTTCTACCGGAAACGAACGTCCTTTTGTTCCAGCAACTTTATGACGACAAGTGTTCAAAGCTCTTCACAATCTTTTCTACCTTGTAGTGCGGGCGACTGTGAACCCCATCACTGACCGATTCGTCTGGCCCAACATCAACCGGGATGTACGGCGTTAGACCCAATCCTGTCTACCATGTCAGCGAGCCAAAACGCATCGTCATAATACTACCCCGTCAGATAACTTCGCTACAACTGATGCCCGTTTCCATCGTGTACAAACTGACCTGGTAGGTTTGCTTCCACAATATAACGGTTCTGCCTATATGCTGACGTGCACTGACCGCTTTACTCGATGGCCGCTAACGTTTTTTGAACCTTGCAGTTATGTGGAGCAGCTGCATAGTGTCATACGCAATCTCCGCGCAATGCCCAGTCGGGCGTCCCCTTCCAATTCCTTCATCCCTCCCGACCTGGGTACGTGTGATTTCGTCTGGGTTCGGCATGACGCTGTCCGGCAGTCACTCCAACCGCCCTATGACGGGCCGTATAAAGTCCTTCGTCGATCTGACAAAGATGTTGTCATCGACCGCAACGGCAAGACCGACACAGTCAGCATTGGTCGCGTAAAGTCGGCCTACATTGTCGATAGTGACTACTCCTCGCCCCAACACTGTACCCCGCCGCAAACAGTGCTGCCTTCACCTACTGGCAACAGCCCGCCTCCGGTTCGCCGCACACGACCTGGCCGTCACGTCTACTGGCCCGACAGGTTTGTGGCTGGCTAGCGTGTGGACGCCTTCACTTCGTTTGGTGTCTCGGGCGGAGTTTTAGCAGCCGCTCCAGCCACCCTTATCTCCGGCTCCGTTTTGTCGGCCGATGGCCGCGACAATCGTTGACAGGCCACTGACACACGACCAACCCCGCCGGCTAGAACTGGGGCCCCTCCTGTCCAGCTGCAATGACTCCCGGCTGCCCTGACAAACTATTATCACCTCACGCGCGTCTGACGACCTGGCTTGATACCCGTGAGCCCCTGTGACTATGCCTCCCTCTCAACCTCCCCCCCCCACTCCGTCAAATTTCATGGCCAGCACTCAACCAGTCACCCCCCCCCATACTGACACAGACATTCACCCCCGGCGTAAACCACACACCGCGACTGACACTCTCCGTGAACGGACGCTTCTCTCTGTCGCAAGCAACCTGCCCTGTGTACAGAATAAACTAGTCCTCACAGCTCCCTGACTTCTGACATTAGATGAAACGAACTTATTGTGCGTGGATTAAGCTGATTTCACATCCTTGACCGCCACGACCATACCATTTCGACTACCTCTTAGAAGGACTGCGCACTCCGAAGAGGCTAACTTGGGGCGTCCTCAATACGTTTTTTTAAATTTACTACCATAGTCAAACTCCGGGGTCATTCACTGATCCTGTACATTCAGCAGGAGTCGGAGTTGTTGAACCGTGGAACGCCCCCCCCCGCCTCACAAATACTGTGACGTCCTAATCGATGGGAAGTTTTAAAAATAACCTTGACATACATATGATCCGACAGCCATGGGGTGCGAAGTCTCCAGGCTGTGCATATACACGGAAAAATCGGTACAACTTACGTTCTTCGCATCAGCCTCAACCTCACCAAACCGAAGACCATGGAAAACTTCGCCCACGCAGACAGCACGTTTACATGCGAAGCCAAAATCGACGATGAAGTTGTACGTCGAATCTTCAATGTGAATCGTGCCTTTGCTTGACTGCCGGACTCTGCGTTCAATCGTCATCGTCTCCAGATAAACACCAACGTCAACGCATACACAGCTGTTGGCTTAACAGGGCAGCCCTACCGAGCGAAAATCTGAACGCTCTAGGAGAAAGAGTTGGGAAGGGCTAACCACACCCACCTCAGTTTCCTCTGGGAAATTCCGGAGCTATGCTGTGGAAACAGGATTCTGGAAACAAGGTTCCTGAGAAAGCCGGAATCATCAGCATCTATGTCATGCTGAGGCAATCATAAATGCGAGTTAGCAGCCTACTTACAAGAATGGATGACGGGTGTCTCTTCCAGAGATCATACAATGTTGTGGCTAGGAGTGTCTGATCACAGGAGGAACAGCAAAGGCACTGCACATACCTCGCTCCCATCATGAGTGCCTACGTCGTCCCCATTACCAGCTCCGACGAGGCGAAGACCAACATTCACGACGATCTGCATGCAATCCTAGCAACCATGCCGGAGACGAACAAGCTCTTTGACCTTGCCAACTTCCACGCACGATTCGGGACGGGGCACACGGGCGTGAGGGGAGTGCTGTATCCCCATGGACTCGCCGGCTTCAGTGAGAATGGCGCCTTCTGCTGGGAATCTGCACAGAAATCCACCTCCTCATTACGTCGGCACACGCGGCAGAAAACCGTGCTGGCAGCTGTTGAACAATGTTCTCATCCGGAAGCGTGATTGACAGGATGTGTGACGGTGACAAAAGCAATCTGCGCCGCAGATAGTTGGATCAACCACCGCCTCCTCCTCATCATCTCCAAGAAAAGGTTGCGGCTGTAATTTCACAGGAGACCACTAGGTAAGCAGTCACCATGTGAGTCGAGTTTTGTTCTGTCGAATTTGCCTGTCCACCGCATTAATTTCAACATGAATTAATCCACCGACCGCAGTAACCGCAGGAATCAGATGAGAACCTGACTACCCGCAAACCACCCGCGCGGTTTGAATTTTGAGTTGCAAGACGGAAGTTTTTCGATCGAGTCTCTTCACTGAAAACGACTGTCCTTCACCAAAAAGTGGATTATAAAACGCCTTTCTGACAGCGATCCTCCAGCTATCTCCATCGGTACTCCTATCGTTCGATCAGAAAAAACTTCAGCAAAAACGGTCTTTCTGTCGGAAATCTCGGCTTGTCTACAGGGCCTACCCATCCAATACACCTTCTCCAATCGCTCACCAAAGTTAGGAGCAACATCTACGAAAAGTCTGAGTCGATATTTCTACACTGCTTGTTGTGCTGCTTAAATTCGGACAACTCGAGTTGTCTCCCTTTACCATAGATTTACCTGAAAAAAAGCGTTCCCTGGAAACTTTCGGCGTATCCAGCATAAGCATAGACACTGTCAACAGTTGTGCCTTAGGAAATAGCTTGTTATTCCTGCGGATTTGTCCGTTTTTCGTAAGTCCACTACATAATGACGATTTGCGCAGCCACCCAGAACAATGCGCCGTATGACGGAGTCGAACCACCGACCACCGACATTTCAGTCGCGCACGCTAATCCCTCGGCCACCGCGGCACGACGGCGGGCGATGTCGCAAAGTTTACTTGATAGTAAATGCGTGCCGCATACCGATCGATTTTGCAGTGGATGCGAGATATTGGCCGGCAAAATCAACCACCTTGAGGAAGAGATGGAAAAGATGAAAACTCTTCTACAATGTAAACTAGACACACTTGACGATGCGAATGTACCTGTTGGACGAATAACTATAAGTAGGGCCAAAGGACGTCGCACAAAAAATACGCCATCAACACCTTCTGCAGATGTCACGGCACACCCAGCACAAACACATAAAATACAAGACGACAACAACCAGCGAAGCAACGATAAAAAACCAGAGGAAAAAAAGAAATCGTGCAGCAAAAAGGTCGAAGGACATAAACAGCAGATCCCGAGGAATGCCTCCGAAGAACCGGAACCAGGGACGTCGGCGTCCGTGTCGCCCATCACGGGAAATGACATGGGTCCTAAAACCCTCAACCTATCGCAAAAAACTTCCGACTTTGACGAAAATGCAAACAAAACAGAGACGAACGAGGATCTTAATCGACTGCAGCTTATATCCTCGTCAGATCATGGCAACCACATATTGCCTATGTCGGAGCATGAAACCACTGTGTTCTCGGGAGTGTCGCAGGTCAGAGGACAATGTCTGATTATTCAGGGACTTCCCGAATCCACAGCTAGTGCCTCCAAAGAGCGGGTCTCGACAGACCTGCAACTCTTCCAATGCCTACTCAACGAACTTCTGCGCCCCAATGAGGAAGTTTCGGTTCTCAAGGCCTTTAGGCTTGGAAAGCGCTCCATCGACATATCAGAGCACTCACGTCCCCGACCACTCAAGATTGTGTTAGCCAACCAAGAACAAGTAGGACTTATTCTCTCACGACGATTCCGAATCAAAGACACCAACCGCGGCGTTTTTTTTCAGCCGGACTACACACCGGCAGAGAGAATAAAACGTCGACAATTAGTTCTGGAACTGAGAACAAGGTTGCAGAATGGCGAGACGGATCTTGTGATCTACAACAACCAGATAGTGCAGCGCCCTCCCCAAATCCGTTGGACCGAACCGATCCGGATGAGGGCACAGTAGCTTCCTTAAATGGGATCACAAGCGGCAGCATAATCAAACGCCCCAAAAAACTCTGGAACTAACATTTTTTTACACCAACGTGCAGAGTATATTGCCCAAGTTAGACGAACTGAAGATCCACATCTGTGACCTTTCCCCTGACATTGTCTCTTTGACAGAAACCTGGCTGTCTGAAAACGTGGATGACCGCGAATTAATGCTACCAGTATTTCAGTTGTTTCGAAGAGACAGGAGAGAGCGTCAGGGAGGAGGAGTTGTCACGTACGTAAAACACGGCCTGTTTGTGTCAGAAAAAAAAAGAACAGTTTGCATGCAGCGCTGAGACTATCTGGCTCACTATAAGGGTACCAGGATCACATAGCCTTGAAGTTCTGACCGTCTATCGACCACCGAGGAGTGACCCCGAGGCTGACGCTCGTCTGTTAGAGGAGCTAGGACGATTTGCTCTCCGGCCTGACGTCCTAATCATGGGCGACTTCAATGCACCGCTCATTGATTGGAGTTCACTATACGCGCGCGGCCCAGAACTAGCTTTTGACCGATGCTTCTTGGACATGGCACTCAGGTCATTTCTCTCACAGCACGTCCTATTTCCCACGAGGGCCCGTGAGGGGCAGCAGTCAAACTGCTTGGACCTGGTGCTCACGAAATCGATGGACAGCATAGATGAGGTACAATGTCTGCCTCCCTTAGGTCGAAGCGATCACGTTGTACTTCAATGGGACTATTCAATCTTTTCCGTGCCTGAACAGCCCACCAAAATTAGAAGAAATATTTGCGTTGGGACTTCGATCAAATGAAAGCCGAAATCAACAATACGGACTGGGAATCAGCGTTTTCCGGAAATATAGAGGAGGATTGGAAATGGTTCAGTGAATTATTGCATGTTCTCCTGACAAACCACTGCCCGTTTTCACGGAAGGGGCTAAACAATCGACCCCGGTGGCTGACCCAGGCGTTAAAAAAGGAAATAAATAAAAAACGGAGATTGTGGCAGAAATCTCTTACTGATGGGACTCCTGTATCCATAAACGCATACAAAATACAGAGGAACTTAGTCAAGCGACTGACCCTCAGGACACGGCAAAATATTGAAAAAGACCTATTGAATCGTGCTATGGAAAATCCAAAATTATTCTACAGCTACATAAGAAGCAGCACACGAAACAGAGATCCAATCCCCCTCCTGAAGACAAGCGGAGACGTAGAGATTAGTGAGGATGGAGAAAAAGCTGAGCACTTTTCACAATTTTTCAAATCCATCTTTACTAGTGAAAGTCCACTTACTCCTCCCGACTACGACTTCGATGAGGGTCCAAAAATTGAGTCTGTATCTTTTGATGAAGCGACGGTTCGCAAAGAGCTAATGACGCTAAATGAGTCGAAATCACCAGGTCCAGACGATATACCGCCTAAGTTACTGAAGGAGCTCGCTGCCGAACTAGCCAAACCATTGTCCATGCTTTTCCAAGCCTCTTTCGAAGCCGGCTGCTTGCCCGCCGACTGGAAATCTGCGCGGATCACACCACTGTATAAAGGAGGCAGCAAGGCCTCTGCAGACAATTATAGGTCAGTTAGCCTCACCTCCATCTGCTGCAAACTCATGGGGAAAATAATCAAGCGAGAGCTGATGCGCTTCCTAGAGCAGCATAATTTATTACCTGATGCGCAGCATGGGTTTCGTAGTGGCAGGTCTTGCGTGACTAACTTGCTCAACTGTTTGGAACGTTGGACTCGGTCAGTTGATGAAGGCAATGCGCTGCATGTAGTCTATATTGACTTTAAAAAGGCATTTGATAGTGCGCCACATCAGCGACTTCTGCACAAACTGAGCCGAACAGGCGTTAGGCGTAACCTCTTAAAATGGATTCAAAGCTTCCTATTAGACCGTTGTCAAACTGTCCATGTCGGTGGCCAGAAGTCGACGGAGGTTGCCGTTGAGAGCGGGGTTCCCTAAGGCTCAGTTCTTGGTCCTACTTTGTTCATCATTTACGTCAACGATTGCGTGAGTGGACTGGATTGTGGTGTCGCCATGTTTGCGGATGACATTAAGCTCTGGAGCGTCATTCGAACTGCAGATGACGAAGAGCATCTGCAGGCGAACCTAAACCGACTCCAACAGTGGTCAAAGGCCTGGCTTCTGCCGTTCAACGAGAAAAAGTGCAATATTCTACGAGTCGGCAGAGCTCGCTCTCCGAACTATATGGCCTACTGCCTAAACGGTATACCACTGCAAGAAGTGGACTCGCAGAAGGACTTGGGAGTATGGATTACGACCTCGCTCAAACCCTCGCTGCACTGCACGAAGATAGCCAAGTCTGCCATGTCAGTCCTCTACCTTATCAAGCGGGCTTTCTCTGCCTTTAATGAAGACTGCTTCGCTAAAGTCTTTCGAACTTTTGTGCGTCCGCAACTAGAATTTGCTATCCAAGCTTGGAGACCCTGGACCGCGAAGGACCTCAGCATCCTTGAAAGGGTTCAAAGGCGGGCAACGAAACTTGTGGCAGGACAGGGTTCACTACCATATGCAACGCGGTTAGCTAACCTTGATCTCTTTCCCTTGAGTTACAGGCAGTTACGGGGTGACCTGATACAAGCCTTCCGTATCATACGCGGTCAGGACTGCACCCTCGTACCGGGGGACTTCTTCGAGTTAGCAACCACCACAAATCTACGAGGCCATCCATTCAAACTGCTTGTGACAGGGGCCAGACTGGACACACGAAAGTTCTTCTTCTCCAACAGAGTGCTAGAAGCCTGGAATGCCCTGCCTGTGGATGTTGTTATGTCTGCTTCCGTCGAGGTCTTTAAGAGGAAGCTGGATTTGTGTAGCAGTGTCCACTAAATTACCACCCCGATCTTTGTAACCTCGACAAATTCCGTTATTATAATACTACTTGCTATATTTCAGTAACATTTTAAATCGAATGAATTATTGTGCCAACTCATCGCCTACGCTTACTGACATGCACATATGCAAATTTTGTCACCGGATATATTATTTATTTCGCTGCATTCGAAACGACAGCTCTAAAACTGCTGGTACCACTAAAATTCGAGACAGTTTGTTTGTCTGTACAGACCTGACGCTTTTCCGATTATTTGTTCCTTTATGATACCTTTTCGAGTTTTTGATATTTTGCAGTTGTTTGTAAACAAATAGGGAGTTCAAAGGTGAAGACCTACATTTCCCTCAATAAACTGAACTGAACCTTATTCATTCCACCGCCCTGGATTTACTCAGATGCGCACGTCGTCGACAGCAGGACTGATTTGCCGACCGCCCCGATGACGACGGCAACGACGATGACGACGAAGAGAACAGACTGCATAAAGCCTGCATTGACTCCGGACCGACACGAGCCAACCGAGCTTCTTTCGCCGTCGCCGCCGCCTCATGAAGGAGCGACTGCGGAATATGCAGGACGCCTAGACAAATCGTTCGGCAGAGGAAATTCAAAGTGCCTTGAGTGCAATGAGATGAGGAAGCTCTTCGTTTCAATCAAAGCGCTCTACGGTCTCATGACCACAGGATCCGCGACGCTTCTTAGCTCTGATTGGACAACACTTCTGACGGAAAAATCGGAAATCGTGAAGAGATAAGCCAAACAGTTCAGAAGTGCCCCCAACCGCCCATCCACGGTCTTCGTCGTGGCCATCGACTTTGTTATCTTAAGTGAAAACGAACACTATCCTGGATATCCTGTCTTTCCTGCAGGAACCATTTAAGCCTTGCAATAACTCTACAATGCGAAAGCACTGAGATCCAATGCGATCCCGGCCGATGGTTACAAGCACGACTGCTGTAAGAATGGGGGTGGGGGTTCATGGAGGTGTGGCGCCAAGTACACGTTCGTCGGTATTTCAAGGACTCAACAATCTTCCATTTCTACCAGTGCAAATAGAATCGGCAAATCTTTGATAACTACAAGGGCATCTGGCTGTTAAACATCACCGGAAGCTCTTTCCTCACACCCTCCTCAACGTCTCAACGGCCAACTAGAAAAGAGATTTCTCCCCGAAAGCGAGTGTGACTTCCGACGACACTTCCGAACTACCAGCATGAACTTGCCACACGCCAGCTATAAGAGACGTGTCGGGAAGTGCGCACCCACCTTCATACTGCCGTACTGAACTTTACGAGTACCTTCGACACGGTGAATCCCCATGAAGTGTGAAAAATCATCCATCTGCCGATGCTGAGGAAAGCGACCTGAATATACCCATGATTGAGGAGCTGGCAGCTGCAGACTTGTGTCTTTGCCCGAAGTCGAGATTGACCGGACATTCCGATGGCAAGAGCGATCTGTCTCGCCAACGGCCGGATCGACCACCGCCTCGCCTTTTTCAAGATGAGATTACGACTACAACTTAGCTGGAGATCACAGGTAGGCAACCACCAGGTAAGTTAAATACTGTTCTGTTGAATGTGCCTACTTATCCTATCGATCTCAGTGTGAATTGATCCAGCGGCTGGAATACCTACAGGCATCGGTTGATAAAGCCACCGTAGAGGGACAGTTCTGTCCAATGCAGAACCTTATTCACTACACTGCAATATATGTACTCAGATGCGCGCGTCGCCAAACGCAGGACTGGTTTGAGGACCAGATGTCAACGCAGATATCATCGACGGAAGGAAGAGCATAAAGCCTGCATTGACACCGAACCGACACAAGGCCCACCGACCTTCTTCTGCTGTCGTCGCGTCATGCAGCAACGACTGCGGAAGATGCAGAACACCTAGATGAATCACTAGGCCGAGAAAATTCATTGCTGTCCGGACCGTGATGAGACGAGGAGAGTCTTCATTTCAATTAAGGCGCTCTACGGCCCAGGGCTAGAGAGACCGCGTCGATTCTTAGCTCCGGCGAGACAACACTTCTAACGGAGAAATTGGAAATTCTGAAACCGTAGGCTGAACACTTCAGAGTTTTCCTCAACCGCCCATCCACAATCTCCGACACTGCCATCGACCGGCTTCCCATGCCTCCCCTCCACCCTGAAAACTTCCATTCTACGACTTAGTCATGCCATTTCGATGGGCTGCCTGCCACTCAAAAGGCACAATTTCTTACGTCCGGTATTGGCTCCTTTTCAGCCAGACAACTTACTCAGGTGATCGAGGGACTCTTGGAGATGTACAGCTTCGTCCAGCCCTTCCATTGTCGTTCACGCGAAATTCCCCAGCTTTACCTTGCGTCCCCCAATGTCGCACCTAAGGCCTGAGATAGCGATATGCCGAGGCGTCAGGCCATCTTGCCTTTGCCTACCTGTTCACCATCCTCGGACTTGCTGTTTTTTTATCTGAATAGAAGGAACTCGGCTCAACGCGACGCGCGTGGCATTTGTTAAACTTCTTCTCCTGACCTCAGTCTCAGCTCGCCAGCGTTATCTCGCACTCGTATAAGAAGAGGCTTCAGGTGATCGCAGGCTGTCGGAACTCCTGCGTCATATGAGTTCTTTTGTTGGGAACGTTGTCATTGACGATGCCGGCATCGGTGCAAACAGTCTTGGCTTCGGGCTCAGATGATTTAGACATCTGGAAGCTAACGGAAAGGGCCGATCGTATGATGGAGGTTAAGCGTTTGTCATCCATGACGTTTGCACATTTTTTCACAACCCCTCACTGCGTCCACCTCTGACCTGACCGAGCTCAAGACACAGACTGTCCAGGTGCCGGCCACTGTTGCCGCTTTGCAGCTGCGCCGATTGGCCGGTCCATCTCGACGTTCCTTTGGCCGTGACCGTCGTCGTTGCCGCTCTCGCCCCAGGACCGCAAATCTATGTTGGTATCATATAAACTAGGGCGATAAGGCGCGCCACTGTGTCCCGCCCTGATCCTTCAAGTTCTCGCAAAGAAACTCCTCGGCCGGAGAGTAAATGCGGCCGAGCTCTCTGGCAACTCTACCAGACGCACATTTTACATCTACGATAACGCGACTGGCAGACGTTTTTAAGTCAACACTGTAACCAAAAAGGGGAGTTTGTGAGCGGTAAAATTGTGTTGGCACAGTTCGGGAGTAAGTGGCGCTGCAGTTGATGCTTAGAAGTGAATGGTGCGAATCAGATGGTCTTCACACTCGAAAGATGAGGACGGTGCTGTCGGAGTCGACCAGGTGTCCGAAGAACTCAGGGGAGGGAATGTAGAGTGTCAAATGCAACACTAAATTGACGGGGGCGGTCAAAAAGCATTGAAAGGAACAGTTTTTGTTCCTTGGCGGTGGAGCAGGACATCAGGAGGTCGTCCAGACAGACTTAGACACGGAGTAGGCCACGTAGCACTCTGTGTACGAACTTCGGGAAGATTTGGATGGCGTTACGGTTCACAAGCGGCACGAGCAATAGTTCAATAAGGCAAAATGGATGATGAGGGCCGTCTCTAAATCATCCTCCGGAGCAGTGGGAATTTTATGGAATGCCCGGACCAATTCGTTCTTCTGGCGTCACCAACCACAGGAGAAGAGATGCCGGCGACCGATGTCCAGGGAGCGCGAGCATCTACTTGGGGTGGTGATCGGGGAGATGTTGACGGTCTGAAGAAAGAAGCTGAGGTTGGAGCACCAACGGTTCCAACCACGAAATGTCTTTTATTGCTACTGTTTCAGACGTACAAGTCATGAACCGAGGCAGGGATGGGGGAAGATTGGTCGTATTGACCTTCGGGCTGACCTGTTCCAAGCGTTGCTCTACTGAAAAATTAAGGCAGCAAACGTCCTTGGCAGCATAGGTGATATGATACGAGAAGGTGGCGTCTGCGATGGGACCTGATGATGGTTTAGGCAGGGTATATAGGACATGCAGGGTTAAAGAAGGAAGGTAGGATGGAAGCGCAGTTTCTTGTATGGAAGTCGCTGCATGAGTAAGTGTCGCTGTTGTGAACGCGAAGGATACGATTACCAAACCCAGACTATGGATATCAGGACAAGACAGGAGCTATGAATATCAAACAACCTGATAGTCCAGCACATGCCACGCGCGTCAGGTTGAGCCGAGCTCCTTCCATTCAAATAAACAAACAGTAAGTCCGAACAGGTAGGTAAATACAAGATTGTCTGCCGCATCGGCACAGTATCGAAGGGCGGCGGAAACAACGCCGAAGAATGTGTACATGTCTAGAAGAAGTGAGTAACCAACCGATCACGAAAGTGGACATGACGAGCACTGCGAGTGATATATGCAGGGTCCGTAGATGAGTGGATATGTCCTGTGGCGGAAGTGTTGGAGTTAGAGGCATCGGACAGGAGGGAAGAGGGAAAGTACGGAACGGCGGAATAGGGGCTGGATGAGGTGAATGTGCAGAGAATAGGGCACCACATGTCTCGTCCTTTGGAAAGTCCGGGATAGATGGTTTGAGGCTGTCCACACTCACGACCACCTCATGATTAGGGCATTGAACGCGGAACGTCTTTGTCCCTCGAGAGAGGACGCGGAATGGGCCGTCATAGGGCTGACCCAGAGGCTACGGACTCGACCATATCGAAGGTAGACGTGAGAGCACGTTGCCAAGTCCTTCTCGACATAAGGCAGAGAGTGAGAGGACCTGGGCAGAATCGGAGAAAGTGTTTTTACAAACTGCCGGGGACGCTCCAGGAGGTTGGTGGGATCCTCGATCGCGCCACGAGGATTTGACAAGATCATCTCACCAGGAAGTCAGAATGTAGCACAGATGACCAGGTTAGCGGTGAAATAGTCAAGGTCCGGCTGGAGAACGGAGTGGATGCCTAAGAGGAGCAAGGGAAGATGGTCTGCCCAATTCTCCGGATCATCCACGGGGCGTTGGGAACCCTTCAACTGGCGGTGGAACCGCACAGCCTTCCCGTTGGCTGCCGGATGATAGGCCGTCGTTTGAATGACATTCTGGACGATAAAGGGAAGGAGAGACTGGAAGAGGTTAGACTCACACTGGGCACCGCGGTCAGTCGTGATAGTGGAGGATGTACCAAAGATGGCAAGCCGAGGACTGAGAAGCGCCTTGACAACCGTTGGAGCAGCAATGTCAGCAAGGGGAGTAGCTTCATGCTACCGGGTAAATCCACCCACACAGGTGAGGAGATCGAAACGGACATTGGACAGAGACAGGGGGCCTATGATGTCCTGGTGGACATGACTGAGCCATGCATTCGGAGTGGGGAAGTTGACGATAGGAGTTTGGTTGGACCTTATTCCGTTGACAGCCGAGACACGCCCGTCTCCATGCTTTCCGGCCCTTGTGCATTTCGTTGGCAGCAGGGTGATAGGCTGTCATGCAAATGCGAATAAAGCCTAAACAGGAGAGAGGAGACTCGAAGACGTGAGATTCATGCTGTGCACGGCGATCAGACGTAGTTTTGGAGAGTGCACCGAAGAGGATGACACAACGACTAGGGAATACCTTGACGACTATTTGAGCAGCGATATCGGGCAAAGGGATAGCCTGCGTCCATCGAGGGAAATGATCTAAAAAAATGAAGAAGTAGGAACACCTGTGGGGCAGATGCATGAGACCCACAATATCTAGGTGGACATGACTGGATTTTGCATTGGACTGTGGAATTTGTCGATGGGAGCTTCGTTGTGCCGTTGAATCTTGCTCGAAGACAACCAAGACACGCTCGTGTCCAGGCCTAGTATATCTTAGACTAGCTGAAGCAGTCGGAGACCAGGTTGCCAGTAGCTCGCCTCCAAATGGGAGATGGATTGTGCAGGGAGGAGGAAACTTTGCGGCAAAGTGATGGTTGCACAAATGAACTATAGGATGTGTTTAATGCATCGCAGAGAATGATGCCGTTGTCTGTTGTCAGTGGTAGCTCCTGGAGTTGTAGTCTGGAAACATCCTCATCACATTGTGAACCGAAACAGCGTTGTTCAGCGGCCACCTCAGCGAGGTCGATCCCGGGTGAAAGTGCTGAATATTGCTAGTTTGTTTTCATGCTGGAGGTGAGCGATAGAGTGCCTGGACTGTGCGTCAGTCATCGTGCCACTTCAATATGGTAAATGCCTGAAGTGAATTGCGAAATGTATTCCAGGTGGTGGATCTCCACG